GCTTTTTTCTTTTTGCTTATGTGGTGCTGAGGAATCGAACCCAGGGCCTCAGGCATGCAAGGCAAGCACTCTACCACTGAGCCACCTTCCCAGCCCCCTGTTACTAGTATCTTTTATGGGGTTCTCCTGAAAAACAGAGCCTGAGTGAGACAAAGAATTGTATGTGTAGGGGGTTTGAGAAGTTAACTGAAGAGGCAGAAAGGAATGAGAGAATGGGGAGAATAAGATAGGAAGAAAATCCATAGGAAGGGGGTTTCATATTATCCAGGTTAGTATCATCCAGGTTGCTGCTGGGAGCTTCATTGTATTAGATGAACATCTGAAGAACATTGTTTCCCAGGAGTGTGTTCATTTATCCGTCAACTCTTCTCTCTTGACCAGATTGCCCCTAGTGATACACAACACCCTTTCTCAAAAGATAGAAAATGCCCTGGGACAGATACAGAGATATAGTGAGCCCTGTAAGTAGAAAGTTGGTAGTGTGTTATTCAGAAGTGTAGTTGAAATTAGATGGACAGGAGTAATGTGACATGGTTATCAGGAACAGTTGCTAGAGGAGGTTACCAATAATCTGAGCAAATTTAGGCAAATTTTTAAATGATAAGGTATCTTAATAGCTTTAGCTATTGAGTTCTCATACCTGTTAGGATTTATATAAATCATGTACATCCTCTTATCTTTTTGTTTTATAGCTGTTCACCAGACTGGACATAATAGTGGCGTCATACACAGTGGAATTTATTATAAACCAGAATCTCTGAAAGCTAAATTATGTGTAAAAGGTTCAGCCCTCATCTATGAATACTGTAAACAAAAGGGAATTCCCTACAAGCAATGTGGCAAGGTATGGCATATAATTACTATATTTTCATTATTAAAAATTCATTGTTGGAAAAAAAATTCATTGTTGGGTGGGGTGCCAGTGGCTCATGCCTGTATTCCTAGCTTTTCAGGAGACTGAGATATAAGGATCGTGGTTCACAGCCAGCCTGGGCAGGAAAGTCCATGAGACTCTTATCTCTAATTAACCACCAGAAAACCCGAAATGGTGCTGTGGCTCAAGTGGTAGAGAGCTCTCCTTGAGCTGAAAAACTCAGGGACAGCACCCAGGTCCAGAATTTAAGCCCCACAACCAACCAAAATTTGAAAAAAAGAAAAATTCATTATTGGGTGCTGGTTGCTCATGACTCTAATTCTACCTTCTCAGGAGGCTGAGATCTGAAGATAATGGTTCAAAGCCAGCTTGGGCAGGAAAGCTTAGTGAGATTGTTACCTCCAATTAACTACTGAAGTAGAGCCAGAGCAAGAGCTTTGTCTAGGCCCTAAGTTTAAACCCAAGGACTGGCAAAAAAAAAAAAAGGCACTTAAAAAAAATACCAAAACATCATCCTGACAAAAGGTTTAGTAAAAAGGCAAGATATGCTGGGTGCTAGTGGCTCATGTCTGTAATCCTAGCTACTCAGGAGGCTGAGATCCTAGTTTGCGGATCCTGGTTTGAAGTTTGCCTGGGCAGGAAAGTCTGTGAGACTCTATCTTCAATAAACTACGCAGAAGAAGTGGGTCTGGTGCTCATAAAACATGGCACTAGCATCAGGGGCAGCACTTGGTCCCTGATTCAAGCCCTAGAATCGTCACAAAAAATAAAAAAAAAATTTAAAAGTAAGGTATAAAATTATGTAGTAGTTATGTTTTAAGTCATTTGTTGATTTAAGTAGTCTTTGTAATTTGACTAAAAATATTGCTGCATGAATTTTGTTAATTTCTTACTATGAAATGCAAGTTTTGACTCTTAACATAGCTGATATATTTAATTGTACCCATGTTCTTTATCATTTTATTTGGAAGCTAATAGTAGCTGTTGATCAAGAAGAAATTCCTAGACTTCAGGCCCTATACGAGAGAGGTCTACAGAATGGTGTCCAAGGCTTGAGACTGATCCAGCAGGAAGATATAAAAAAGAAGGAGC